ACTTCCTCCTGGCACCGTCTTAGGCTGCCACGTTAATACGTCCTTGTGGGCCCATAATGGTGCCGCTTGTAATGGCACTTAAGGTGGCGTTAGTTTTTAAGGCCTGACATGGCTCTATAATCAAAGTTCTTAACCACTATGCTCTGATCATAAAACAAATAACCCAACTGAAAAATGGACAAAAAAGCTGAATAGACATTTCTCAAAGGAAGAACACACAAATGACCAACAAGTTTATGAAAACATGCTGAACATCACTAATCATCAGAAAAATGCAGATCAATAGCACAGGTGTTGATATTCAGTGCTGTACTCCACAGATATGGACAATCAACTATGTTCCAATATGAATGAATAAACAAACAAACAAACAAACAAATAAACAAACCACAATGAGATATCTAACTCTAGTTAGACTGGCTATTATAAAAAAGACAAAATAACAAATGTGGGCGAGTATGCAGAAACGAGGAACCCTACATATTATTATTAGGATTGTCAATTAGTACAGCAATTACAAAAAACAGTATGCAGGTCCCTCAAACAACTACAGATAGAACTACCATAGGACCCTGCAATCCCACAACTGGGTATATACCCAAAGGAATGGAAATCATGTGAGAGAGATACCTGCACTCCCATGTTTATAGCAGCTCTATTCACAATAGTATGGGGAGCAAGCCAGCAAAATTCATCATTGCTCTTGCCATTTCTCTAACAAACTAATTTGGCTTCTTCTTTCCAAGACTCCCAAAAACCTGTATATATTTCAGGAAAAATAGTGTGTCCCTTGTTTTATATTTTCACTACTAGCCACAACTAATTTAGATTCCTAAATCTGGCTATTATGTTTTTATTCAGACCTGTCTATATGCCTCAGTGACACACACACAAAAATATTCTCATTTTACCTAAATGGCTCACAAGAAAGACCTTCTGTTTTTTAAAGTGTTCTCTTTAATAAGTTTTTTTACATATATCACTTGTATGCCAGTTTTTCAGAGAAATGATATTTGATATCATGGTGTTTAAAACCAGATTAAATATGTTAAAACATCCTAGATTAGAGAAAATTTCTGGAATACGTCAGTGATTAAGTATCAGCTTAAATCATTATTTACAATGTGCTATAGAAGTGTTCAATAGTGTCTTTGGACACTGGATAAACCAGATTTTATTGACTGACAGAAAATTAAACACTATATAGGCTTCAAAATATATCAGGAGAGATCTTATAAATTCTATAAAATAGAGATATTACAATTCCTTTAGGTATTTAAGGTTACAGAAATCTATCAAAAGTAGACATATCTTTGTAAACTGCAAGACACCATATAAATGTTACTTGAAATCAATATTGCTGATAAATATTGCTCTCAAAAATGTTATATTCCAACACTGTTTAGTAATATGGATTAAATTTATATTTTACTACAATAGAGGTAATTCAGACAAATTTAAGTATATTATGTATGCTACATTTAATTGTTTGTTGATTTAATCATTAGTCATACCTGAGTTAGTTCATTAATGTCTATAAGTCCATTACTGTCTGCATCAAAGTATTTAAACATTTGATCCACCAACAACTTCTTCCGAGATATGTCTTCATCGTTGGGATTTTCATTTTCTTGGGTAATATATTTTTGATTTTGTAAGTCTAAAAGCATGCTTTTCATCTTGCTGTATTCAGTGGTCTTGCAGTTATCTCCTGTAACAAAAGAACTAAGTTATTTTCATTCAATATTATTGAAAATAAATAATTTACTTCATTAATGTTTAAAAGTTGATACTTTATGGACAACAGACTTTGTACATAATTTTTATATTACCAATTTTGCATACCTTACAACTTGAACAAGCAAAAAGAAATGGGATATTCTCATTGTAGGATAGAAAACTTCCATTTCTGATAACGTATTTACTGTGTGGTTTCCCTATGAAGAAGGCATTGATGTTATGATGGATGTTAAAAAATATGATAGCTTCATTGGCTCCAGTTTTTAAATTCAATGTTTTAGTTTTAATCCTCATAACAGTATTGGTAGGTTTACAGTAGAAAAAAAAGAAATGCAGGGAGTTCAGATGATTTGCACAAAGGGTTAGATTTTGCTGGATTTTGTGTTTAACTCATATGTATCTGGTTCCAATAGATTATACCTCATTTTTAATATGAAATATGCGTTAGACTTTTGAATTTGTTTTGAATAATTTGTATGTATGGATAACTATACACACACATATTCCATCTTTTTTCTTAATAATTACTATTCTTAATGACACTACGAACATATTAGTATACTTCCAGAAGTCTTTTCTTATTGCTGTAATATTCATTTCTCTCTTCTTTTAGAGCACTTGATGCATAACATGATATATATTTGCATTATGTATCTTGAAGTTTAAACTTCAAAAATATTATCTGCATAAAGTATAAGCTTATTAAAGTAACAATGCATTACAGATTTATAGTATCTCCCATGTAATAACCAGCATAATACTGGGAACATCATAGTCAATGAAAATAATTGTTTGGCTTAATGTCTCTCAAAAATAACTGTTATTGCTCTAAAGTTTTCACATAATTATTTTTAAAAAGATTTTACTTACAATGGCCCTATGATGATATCTTTATAAATAGTGTATTGAAAAGAAATAAATACTGCTGATAGAAAATGTGATATAAAATATATTATATGAAAACACAGTGCATAATGTAATTTGCAAATGAAGCTGTAGGTTTTATATTAGCTTAAAATTTTTTACAACATATTTTTAGGGAAAAAACTCTGATGTTAAAATTGTGGTCAACTTTGACAATGAGGCTTTGACAACGTCTACAATTTTAAAAGAAGATTTTAAAAGATAGAAGAATGGGGGTGAAAAACAATATTTGAAGTTTCATTCTCTTTTAAGACAAGATGGAAAATAATCTCTTTTAGAGAGATGAGAGGCTATCTTATTTTTCAAAGACAGTGAAATGACTACTGTTTTTCAGCAATTTTATTGTTTAGCAATCCTGTCATAAAGCTCTTTTTTACAATAAAATGTAAACTCTGTGCTGCAGACCATCAATTTTGCATTATCCTGTTCTTACTAAAGAATAATAAGAAAGAATATGTTTTCATAATGGCAAGGAACTCACTGACAAAAGAGAGACGCAATCAAATCCATAGCTACAGTTAACAATTTTGGTGTCTAGGAAAGTAGCACTAAAGGAGTTTCCAAATAGGTGTGTGTACACATGTGTGCACTGGGGAGAGGAGGAATGTGTGATGAAAGAATGGGGAAAAGGATAGCAGACTGTTCCAAGAGATAACAGATCATTCCAATAACCCAAACTTGGATTTCTGTATATGACCCTAAGCAGATGGGAAGTAGGATTTAAATGTTAAAAACATTTTAACTCATATTTAAAACTGGGGGAGAGACTATAATTTAGGTTGTTACACTCTAATTTTGATCTAATCAAATCAATTTGATCATCATTATACACTCATTAATCCTTTCAGTCCACAAATTGTTGTAAATTTCTTCTCAAGTCCAGGCACTGAAGTGGTTGATAGCTTCCCAAAGAAAACAACAGTACAAGCAGTGAAGTTAAGATGTTCATATTCTATGGAAATATACAATAAACAGTTTTAAAATTATGTAAATCTTTGTACAATTTATAAAGTTAATAAAAATATCTGTCAGATTTTTCAGTAATAAATAGGTATATCTGTTATTAATGGTAGATTACATGTAATGCACACTTCCTATATGCGAAGAACTTTACACATATTCAGTCATTTTCTACATGTTAAATCCTCACGACAACCCCAAAATAAAGGCAATGATATTATCACCATTCTACAGATGAGGAACTAAGATACAGAGAGACTGAATAACTAGTTCAAGGTTACAGAGCAGGAAAAGGGCAGAATGATTTTTACAGACAAGCAATATCTCTTTTATCCTCTATCTTTCCTTCTCTCATCTTCACGATTAAGTTTTTCTTGGCCATTTAATAGTTAAAATCAACTTTTACATGGAGTTGGTAAATTTTTCCAAGCATTATTTGTAAAGTGAGAGATAAATATAATAAGAAACTACAAGCAATATGACTGCTTATATTACAAGTGGAAAAAGAACTCACAGAGGAAAAACAAAATAGTATCTGAGAGGTAAAAGGTAAACTATGAAAAAGTGCTGAAGAGAAAGCCAAGAAAAAAAAAAAAAAGCTTTTCAAAAAAAGAATATGATGAATTGTTAAATGTTTCAGAGTAAAAGTAAAATAAATGAAAAAAACATGTCCATCGGATTCCTTAACTTAAAGGTAACTGTGACTTTAATGAAAAAATTTAATAAATAAATGAAGCAGATTTCATATTACAATGGGTTAAGGAGGATAAATACAAAGTAAGGATTTGGAATATTAAGTATTTACTCAACTTAAAAAAGTTAATTAGATTGACATACTTACTGATTAATTTTGAGAATTAATCTTATTGGAAATAACAGGGGAATGTCGTGAGCTAAAAATTCATTCTCCAAACATTTTCCTACTTAGGGCATAATTTGTCAATGATATGCCACATTGTCATGGACAACTGTTTTCAAATCTATCCAAGCAGAAGTGAAAAAATGTTTGATTTTCTAGTTTGGCAAATGTGATGATGTATCAGAATTTCAGTGAAGGAGTTCTTGTATTCAGGTCACTTTGCTCTTATCAGTTATGCTAAGTATAATATGTTTTTTCAAAGGCTATAATCTGTTCTTATATATTTGAAATTATACTTTTATTCTCAAACCCATCCACCAGTAAAAACTACCAATTTCTTTCAATACAAAATAGTCAACCAAAAGTATATAAAAATATCATTTTTTCTCACTTTAACATCCACTGTCATAATTAAATTAATTTGGTACCAATATAAGCTGAAATCTTAGCTATACAAAGAATAAAAATTGAATATTTTTATTTTAGTGTCAATTCTATTCACATTATAATGTATGTTGAAACTGTTTTTCTGCAAACTATTCAATATTCGCTGATAGAACAATTTAAAATATTGTTTGATAAATGGTTTTTATTTATGGAATAAGGAATATTCAAAACTTCAGTCGATTGATTTAAAATGCATATATAAATCAATTTCATCATGGAAAGTTATCATATTTATATTAATTGTAAGTTGTTAAATAGGGCATATGAAAAAACTAAAACTGTTTTTGTTAAAAATAGTCTGAACAAAATTTTTAAAAACTTTAATCTTAATTGGAATATCTGCTTAAGTGTCAAAAAGATAAGGGTGTAAACTATCTTGTGTTACATGGACTTTACTTAAGTGTACTATTGTTACACGTAAAATTAATGAAAGCTTACTATGTTTCAGGTTCTATTCTAATTCTAGAGATTCACTAGTATACCCCTTCACAACATAGTACATTTAAAGAGCCATGATTTCACTATAGACACGAAATAATTTTAAAAGGTAGACATTTTTTAGAGCATTTTAAGTTCACAGAAAAATTAATCAGAAATTACAGGGTTTCATATACCTTCTCTTCCCACACATGCAGAGCTTCCGCACAATCAACAGCCCACATCAGAGTGTTGCAAGTGATGAACCAACAAGAACACATCATCCCCCCAAATCCATAGTTAATTTATGGTTCATTAGGTATATTAGGTACATTAAGGTTCCTGGTGTTGTACATTCTATGGGTTTTGACAAATGTATAATGACATGTATCTATCATTATAGTATCACAATCATGCAGAATAGTTTCACTGCCCTCGGAATTCTCTGTGCCTCAACTATTCCTCTCTCTTTCCCTCCTAGCCCCTGGCAACCACTGATCTTTTTACTGTCTCCATAGTTTTGTTTTTTCCAGAATGTCATATAATTGGAATAACACAGTATGCAGCTTTTTCAGGTTGACTTCTTTCACTTAGCAATATGCATTTAAGTTTCCAACATGTCTCTTTACGGCTTGATAGCTAATTTCTTTTTATTACTGAATTATATCCCATTGTACAGAAGTACCACTGTTTATCTGTTCACCTACTAAAGGGCATCTTGATTGCTTCCAAGTTTTGGTGATTATGGATAAACATCTGTTGTGGGGTTTTGTGTACAGACACAAGCTTTCAACTCATTTGGATAAATTCCAAGAAGCATGATTGCTGGATCACATGGTAAGAGTATGTTAGTTTTGGAAGAAAACACTAAACTGTCTTCCAAAGTGACTGTACCACTTTACACTCCCATCAACGATGAATAAGAGCTCCTTGCCGGGATTTGGTGTTGTCAGTTTTAGGTTTTCATCATTCTAATAGGTGTATAGTAGTATCTCGATGTTTTAGAGAGAATTTTTTAAGTTCATAAGTGATTACATTTTACAAAAGACCTTGGTTCCTTTCCCTTTCTGTCACTTTCTGCACACACAAAATTTGATTTGGCTTAATTTATTATCACCCTAAGCATTGTTGAATAAAGAAAAATGACTTAAAAAAGTTAATTAGATTGACATACTTACTGATTAATTTTGAGAATTAATCTTATTGGAAATAACAGGGGAATGTCGTGAGCTAAAATTTCATTCTCCAAACATTTTCCTACTTAGGGCATAATTTGTCAATGATATGCCACATTGTCATGGACAACTGTTTTCAAATCTATCCAAGCAGAAGTGAAAAAATGTTTGATTTTCTAGTTTGGCAAA